TCATGACTAGTGTACTGTAATCAAATCTAAATATAATGTCAGCCTTACCAGTGATATTGGGAAACATAAATAAAATATATGATTATATTGAGATGCTAAAAACATATGTATTAATTTCTTATGCATATTCCTATTTTCTTCTAAAAGGTCTCCCTCTGGAGAATTTCAAATGCAGGAAACATCCAAGCCGTCCGTTAACCCAGTTCTGTATCCCGTGTGACGTCACCTTGTGTCAGATGTGCATCAGGACCTCTAGTGATCATAAAAAACATGACGTTAGAGATGTTGAGAAATTATTTAGAGAAATTCACAAGAAAAAAGGTTTGTAATGATGCAGAATGTATTAATTTGTAAAATCAAGACATTCATTTTTGAGAGTTTACCTTTCCATTAGATCACTGGACTGACTTGAGGCAGTAATAATCTGATTCTAGCTCACTTGAGCCGAAGGCTATAGCTAGTTCAAGTGAACTTTTTGATCAAAATTTTTCTGATGTTTGTCATTCTTCATGTTCTTGGTGTTGTCGTCATAAACTTTTCACATTTTCATCTCCTCAAGAACCACTGGGCCAATTTCAACCAAATTTGCCACATACATGTAGTGTCTTCAGATAAAGGGAATTCAAGTTTGTTCCCATGAAAGGGCCATGACCCTTCCGGGTAGCCCGCATGGCCAAGTGAAAGAACAGAGTGAGTTGATTCCTCATAAGTCAAAAAAATATGGAAACATTTTAGATTATTGTAAATTAGAGTTTATATTAACCCCTTCACCTTGGGGATAGATTTGGATCACATATCTTCTAACTTTGCAATACTTTTAATTTTTCTGCCTTTTTCTCTTAACCAAAATCAAAAACTACTGTAACAGTGACTGCTGTGGTCCATGGACCTCTTGTTTATTTTTAGATGGAGATACAGTTTTAATGTGCCTTCTTCTTTGTGCTTCATACAAAATAAATCTCAAAGAAAATCACTGGATACAGAAGTACAATGCTGTTGCTGAAGTCTTCGAAATCAAGAAGATTAAAAAGCCATCCAATCTTAGCAACATAAAGAAGTACAAACCAATACTGAAACAGGATCGTGTGAATGTTGAATTTTCTTCTGAATTCTTTAGAGACACATGTTTTCTTAAATATGCCAAAGATAGAGCATTTGTGAGCATGTTTCTGGATTGGGCAGAAAAAGAAAACATTGCAAAGTACTGCAGATCATCAAAGTATCGGAGAAAAAAGACTGAGGAGGAAGTTTGCTGTTGGTTATTACCAAATCAAACAGAACAACTGATAGAAAAACTTGGAGAAGACATGTTCACACATGTAACGATGATGGACCAATCAATACATGAATTAGTTTATAGCAAGCGTATGTTTCTTTTATTTGTTTTTCAAGTGTCTCTAACATTTTGCTGTTTCTTTCCGTTTTTTTTTCAAAGTTTATCCTCGCAGTACAGTTAAGGTAACAAATGGAAATACATGTATCAGTGATTTTTTTAAAATGAAAAATGCATACTTTATTAGGATGGGCGATTCTTTTAAGGTCTTCACTGATAAAAAAAATTATGTGAGCAGTACAGCTGCTAGTTTTCTTAAGCAATGAATTATCATGTTTTGAAAGATGCAGTCTCATAACTGCAATGGTGTGTGCAAACAAATTGAATAACGCGCGTTAGCGCGTTATGAAAATTTGTTTGTACACACCATTGCTGTTATGAGACTGCATCTTTCAAAAAATGATTATACAATGCTTATATTTACATTTTGTAGCCCCTGTATTTTCCACAATTTTAATTTTTTTAATTAAAATTCCCTCCTTATCCTTCATGTAAGTTGCAATTGATAGAACAGCTTATGGAATAGCTTAATCCAGGTTTCCCGCCAGAGTTTGTTTGCGCACAAGCCAAAATCCGCAAGGGAAAATAGTGCACAATAAAACAGATGACAATAATCAAAGTTTTATTATTTTTCAATCTAAAATAATAAACTTTATTTTGCAACAGAGAAATTCAAATGAATGGTATAAAAGACCTAAAGTTTCGCTTTGTTTAAACTGTAATGACGTAATACCTATATTCATACGCTAGGCAGACTTCGGTAATTTGGTCTTTTGTGTTATGTGTATTTATCACTTGTAATTTTATCATGCGTTTTATTAGGGTCAAACAAAGTAAATGTAAATATTGTTTAATATACGTAGCTTTATAAATATTAGTAAATAATTAAAATGCATAGCACAGTTAAAGCTTTACTCAACTACATGCAGTAAAAAGGCTTACGCGACATTTGTTCCTGTCCGCTTTATTGGAACTGTGATATATTTTTACTTTTATTGTGTGTTGTAATTCAGAATGAAAGAGATATATTCTTGTCATTGTAGTCGGCATACCAGTACAGGTTATAATGAGAGGAGATGAGTCTGTGAGGAACTTCTTGGACAATCTGAGGAAAGGGGAGACGACCATGTACCACGCCTCTGGGATGATCATTGGGTGTGCTGGTAGTGGGAAATCAACCCTACTGGAGAGACTGAAGGGCATCGACCTGAAAGAAATTCTGGAGAGTTCAAAGTCAACCAGAGGAATTGATGTCCAGGCTGACATATTTGATGTAACTGGAAAAACAATCAAGGGTATGATTTTTTTTTTATCTTATCAGATGAAGTTTTCCAAATAACGTGTTACAATCAAGACATGGCATAAGGCATGTGTTACAAACACTTTGACTCACAGCACTTAAAACTGTTTGGCAAACCTTACAGTAACGCTGCAGAAAAAAAATACTGTAGTATCTATGTCTGGATCATTATATTGAAAAAATATGTTTGTGACAACAAAGCTCAAGAAAGCTGTTTTAAGCACATAGGTCACAGTCAAGGTCACAGTCATTGCCTTTGGTGCCATTTGAAAGAACTTAATAAGTGAAGTTTGCATACCAACACAGGAAGAAACAAGACCTTTCAATTAAAACTTAATGGCGGCTTTCAGTGACTTTTCAGTTACCATTCAGCCAAAACAATACAGGACAAAACAATATATGCCCCGAATCTATTTAACACAAAACACAGTCTAAAAATCTAAAAAAAAACACAGTAGAAAAATTCAAGACATAGTTAAGAATTGGCATAAAGATTGCTTACGCATGTATGTGTGACCCTGATGAAAGACCAGAAGGTCAAATGTAAGAAAAAGATGAAAAGATAAAGAAGGGTATGGAGATAACGAACAGTATTCAATCTCAAGGTCCATAAAACGATACAAAACGAGCAGAGCAAACACGGACCTCCGATACACCAGAGGTGGGATCAGGTGCCATGGAGGAGTGTGCATCCCCTGCCCACTGGTCACACCCGTCTCGTGCTCCTTGTCATGATCAGAAGATAACGGAAAAATCTGTCGTCAATTCAGTGTATAAATAATGGACTAACAATTGGTATGAAAACATCAGACAGCATTTGACTAAAATTATTTCAAAATTCAACAATCTGTCTTAATTTTATACACTTGGTTTCCAAGAGTTCGTGGCATAATGGTATGATTGATGGATTGAAGACATAATGATCGTGAGTTTGAGTCTCACAGTGCGTGTTACTTAACTACAATTTTCTTTTTTTCTCTGTGTGCATTTTTTGCCCCCCTTCGAAGAATGGAGGGCATATTGCTTTGCTGCTGTCCGTCGGTCTGTCAGTCCGTCGGTCGGTCTATCGGTCCATTTAGTTTCCATTCATTTTCTTCACAACCGTTGCACATACTGAAATGAAATTTGGTATACAGGGTTATCAGGTAAATATCTAGGTCAAGTTGGGTTTTTGGGTACGATCACACCATTTTTGAAAGAGTTATGCCCCTTGGACTTAGAAAAAATCCACTTATTTGCAGTTTCCGTTCATTTTCTTAGCAGGGTTTGCAGAAATTGAAATGAAATTTAGTATACAGATTTATGAGCTGAATATCTAGGTCAAGTTCTCTTTTGGGTGTGATCACACCATTTTTGACAGAATTATGCCCCTTGGACTAAGAAAAATTCCACTTATTTGCGGTTTCCGTTAATTTTCTTTGCAGAGGTTGCACATATTCAAATGAAATTTAGTATACAGATGTTTCACCTGAATATCTAGGTCAAGTTCTGTTTTGGGTTTGATCGCACCCATATTGTTAGAGTTATGCCCCTTGGACTTAGAAAAATTTCACTTATTTGCAGTTTCCGTTCATTTTCTTTGCAGAGGTTGCACATAATGAAATAAAATTTAGTATACAGATTTTTCAACCTGAATATCTAAGTCAAGTTCTGTTTTTGATACAATTACACCATTTTAGACAGAGTTATGCCCTTTTGGACTTAGGAAAAATCCAATTTGAGGGGAGGGGGGCATAAGTGTTTTACAAACAACTCTTGTCTTATGTTTTCTTTTATTATTTCATAATGCATGTATAAATAATTTTTAAAAGAGATATATAACACAACATTACACATTGAAAGTATCTTGGGGGAAACAGTCTTAGCCTATTTTAACGACCCAAAGTGATAGCTTCTGGCCGTTTTATTTTTAAAAATTTCAAACAATCTTGTTTAGAATAAGACTATTGGACAAGTAAAATTACTGTCATGCAACAAACTTTGAAAATATAACACTGGTTCACAAATGATTACATACATGTACTTTGATTTTGAATTGAAAAAGGTACATGTATCTATAAATAGAAACAGGTGATTTCCTTTTAAATACTTGAGTAGGCCGAATCGTCGGTAAGTAGGCCTTTCAACTAATTTTTCAAGTTTCACATATGGTAAAAAACATTGTATAGATAGATTTATAGGTACATGAAATTATCAAAAAAGACAATAACTTATGCATACTTTTAAAGTTTAATCATTTATAATTGACTTTTCCGATGTTGTGTTTAAGGACAGGTAACCCAGGTGTGAAAAATGACCAACTTAGTGCCGATTTATGAGTTATCGTTTATAGGAATGACATATAGGCTGCTTCAGCATTGGTATTGCTATATACACAAAAGGGTTCCTTACATTGTTTTGTACACAAAAAGTTTTGACCAAGAGAAAGAGAATGCCTTCACTTTACCTGAAATAACAGGGTCAAATGAATGGGGAACAGACTATATTCAATAGTT